ATATTTTCTATAGGCAATATATCTTTTAGGGACCTTAACTCTACACATAATTCTTTCCCATCAATATCACATTGTTCATTATGTTTCAATGTCTCTTGCAAATGACTACAACAAGACTCTAAAGCTGCATTGTCCAATGATTGTAAATTTTTTAGAAGTAAATAAGAAATCAAAAACAATTTCATATTATTGGTATTGCTCAAATCTCTTATTAAGAGATACAATAGCCTGAACAACAAGCTAAAGAAAATAATTAACTCTAAAAGATTCTTCTTCAGATATCTCAGTTGGTGGAGTATTCAAATTCTCATCAAACTATCTTTTTCTTCGAATTATATGAATTTTGAGGAAATACTGGATCAATATTCAATTCAATGACAATTTCTGTAGCATAATTCAAGGCATTTTTAAAACCAGTTTCTCTATATTCCTTAAAAAATGAAATCAACTCCGTTGTTTTTTGCATAGCAACATCAATAACCATATCACTTGATTGTAAGAGCTTGCTAATCATATTAGTTGCGAATAATATTTCAAACCAAATAATTATTGCCATTAAAAATTCAAAATCACTAAGCTCATTTGTTGCTAAGGATTTGACTTCACTTCTTAATTTAGAATCAAGATCCTTTTCTGAGACTTCAAGTAAAGCTTCTCTAACATCTGACATTTGAGTTTTTATAACTTTGACACTATCTACATGACTCTCCCAACGAGTGGATAACAATGATTTTGGAGTCAACCACTTTAGGTTGTCTTTTAAATTTGTCATCTCTTAGTAGAATTAGCAAAAATAGTATAAATGCGTTGAACAACTCCAAAAAAATATTTAGTTTTACCACAAGAGTTAGCCATATCACACAATGTCAAATTAAGACTATGACAAACACAAGGAGTATAAAAGGCTCTTGGATTTATGTCTAAATTTGTTTTGTACACCTTGATATTTTCCTTTCATATTTGACCCATTATCATAACCTTGTCCCTTCACATCAAATATGTCAAGATCAAGATTTTTCAATTCATCTTGTAAAACATAAAAAGAGACCTTAACCAGTTGTATCATTCACATCCAGAAGTCCTAAAAAAGATTCTTCAACAGTAGCATAATTTGAAGAAACATCCATATATCGTATTATCAAAGACATATGCTCTTGGTGACTAATATCAATAGTACAATCAAGTATCATTGAGAAATACTTTGCTTGTTTGATTTTTCTAATTATTTCATTTTTAATTGCAGAAGCAAGCAAAAATATTAACTCGTTTTAAATTTTATGCCCAAGAAAGTGAACATGAAGATTATCATCTGTAATACGTCTAACATATTCTTGAACAATTGGGTCAAATTCAGCTAACATTTTAATTAAGGCTAAAAAATTCTCATTACTATTTTGGTACAATCTTTCATTAGAATCACAAAAGGCCAAATTATGTTTAGCAAGAAACTTCACTATTGAAATAATTCTTTTTAAAACATTTTTCCAATGTTCCTTTTCTTTCTCAATCAACATTTGAGTTGTTTTATCAATAGTTTGAAAATTTTGCATTCTTTTATGCAACTCATACCAAGTAGTCATATTGTGAATATGTTTCATGCTTGCCTCATGCTCTCTTAGTCTTTCACCAACATGATTCCAAAAACAAAAACCCTCATTTGCTAATTGACTTCTACTAATCCCTCTTTTAAATTTTTTACAACAAAAACAAAATACTCTATCAAGCTTTTTTGAATAATTAGTCGTAAAACGCTTGACTGTAAGAATCTACATTTAAAATTACTGCACCTGCACAAACTGGTTAGTCATAATAAACACACACATGAGATCATATGACATGATTTTCAGAACATCATGACCAAAGACCCGATAGTCTTACAGAGAGAAAACTGAAAAAATAGGACAAATTTGGGGTATGACAGTTACACACTGGATTCAGAATCTGTTGTGCATCCATGTTCGACGTCTCTTGTACTATGGGGCTAAGACAAAGACACTTGAACAAGTTACTTCCTTAATGAATAATTTTCTGCAAAGACTATAAATATGGTTGAAGGTTCTTACTAAAAATAAGACAAGGATTCTCTAGACGAAGGAGTAGCAAGATCAAGAAATTATCAACTCTATTGTAATATGTAGATTTTCTGTTTGTAGGTTGTAATTGTAAAAGCCTTACGATTTTTTAAACATTGTATATCTTAAAAATCTAAGTGCTTTAGGTCTTTGTTATGGTGATTTCCCGTACCTCCGATACTTGTACCATGTACACCTTATTCTCTATCATGTTGGACATGTTCAACAGTTTAGATCAAAGTCTCTTGCTGTGTGATTGAGCAAAAATCTTGTCACATTAGGATTCAAGCAACAAGTCTTAAGTCAGGATGCTTGAGCCACATAAGTTACATTACTTAAGTGTTTGAGCTGTGAAAGTCTTATTCAACTAGGTTGATTGAGCAAAGAGAAAGTCTCCATCTGAGGGGCATGAGCATGAAGTCTCAAGTGCTGCTTGAGCAAGAAAGTCTCAGTTTGGATGGCCAGAAGAGCAGGTGGTTCGGTCAAAGGATGTGAGCAAGGAAGTCTCAGTCTGGATGGCCAGAAGAGCAGGTAGCTCGGTCAGAGGATGTGAGCAGAAGTCTTAGACACGTGCTATAAGCAAGAAAGTCTTAGATAGTTGGTCTGAGCAAGTGTAAAAGACTTATGCAAAAACATAAGCGATTGTAATAATGAATTGGTTATAATGAAAATATCTTGTGTGGCAAGGGGATTGAAGTACTCTTAATTAGGGGAGGAACCAGGATAAATCTTTTGTGTCTTCTATTGTTATTTGTTTACTTCAGTTATATCTGCTGCCAATGAATTAGAACATAATTTAAACACCAATTCTGATTCTGAAACTCTGATCAGAAGTTAAATTAAAGAAAACGTGAAACACAATTCAACCCCCTTCTTGTGTACTTTTCACACCTTCAAGGGTCACTGTTCGAGACTAGAGGTTCAAAATGGAGTTCAGTGTAATAATCGGGACAATTATTTAGTGAAAATTGTGTGAAATTTATTAAGGACGAAATTGCCAAAGCAAACACATTTATGGTTACATTATTTGACTGTCGTAGGTGTTGGTTCAATGTAGATGAGACAATGGACCATAATGAGGGGAGTCCAAAGGGATAATATCGGGTCGAACTAGATAAAGGTGATGGGATTGCAAAAAGTTTAAAGCCTTCCATATACCTTGTACCCATGTCACATTGGCACGTTCATATGCTCGCCAGGACCATACCAACCTACTATCTGCCGTTTACAAAGTAACAAATGTATGTAATATGTACAACAATAGCTTTTCGGTGGTAGCAAAAGAGGATTATTGACCTACATATCAAGGGGACATAGTTTGAAATAATGAAAATATGCAAAGGAAGAAAAAAGACCGCCCTAACAGCACGCATATTCGAACCAAAATGGATACGACGAACAAAATGGTAATATTATATAGTACATGCCGTCAGCCCAGACACAATCATACAAATTGTCCTAATTTTGGAGCAAGCTCCACAAAATAATTATCGTATCCACTTTTGATATGTACTTTATTTTATGTATCCATTTAATTTGATATTGAAAACAACGTTCATTTCATAATTATTACAACTTTAGTTTAAAACAATTAAAACAATAATACTAAAAACAAATAAAACGACTAAACACAACAACATATCTAGAAGATTACAACCATCAAGAGAATATCATACGAACCATGCATCATAATATGACAATCACTGTCAATTTTAACTGACTCTCATACACGATGTTCTCCATTATTGTTGAACATCGTAACCAGCCTTTTAATTCTTCTAATTTTTTACTATCTCCAATATCTCCATATAACCAACAGATCAAACTCCTCTTAAGATGTTCGAAAGTTTCAGTGTTTCTAAATCGGATATTCATCCGAGACTGTATTGCAGAATAAAACAAATTATCATTTCTGTTAATGATATAAGACATTTTGAAAAAAAATTTAAGGAAAGAATGAAAAGATGAGTGACATATTGTGGTGAGAGAATGAACTATTTATAAAAAAAATAATAAGCCCTAAGAGGGATGACTCCTCTTCTTAAGGCCAATATGCATGCATCATTCCCCTGACATGACACAAGTGCTTGAGCTAGAGACAATGACACACATATTTAATTTAGTTCATGCGGTACACATTCTCTTTGTAACGATATATTTGTTTTTGTTTGAAGAATGATTACTTTGATAAATAATTTAAAATATTAGTTATTTGAGTTTTTTTTATAAAAGATTTAGTTATTTAAAAAAAAATCACATAATCTAGTCAACTCACATATATAAATATGCTGTATTTGAAAATATTAAAAATATTAAAAAAATTCATATTATAATTTAATATAATGCACATAATATAGTGAACTCACGCCTTTGGAAAAAAAAACAGTTGTGACTTGACTATATTATATGTTTTTGATAACATTTTATTTTATTTTATATATTTTTAAAAATATTTATTATATTAAATTTTAATATGAAATTTATGAATTTTTTTAATATTTTAAATAAAACATTTATATATGTGAGTTGACTGGATTATGTGATTTTGTCTTAAATAATTAAATAAAAAAAACTTAAATAATTAATATTTTAAATTATTTATTAAAGTAATCATGTTTATAAAAATATCATCTAAAAAAACAATTACCGCTTGTTTTTTTTTTCTCACCTGGTTACTGTTTACTCTAGACTTGAAAACAAAATATCAGCGCTTAAATTAACAATTACCGCTTGAAAAATAGAAACGTGTTTTAATTTTCTCTATGGAAAACGGCACTGGTACAACATTGCATAGTAGCCTGGCCACAATTTTCTCAACACAATAAATTAAGTTTACTTTCAGCTTAATTTCAGCTTAATAGTTACTACTACTTAATAACTTAGCGTTGATTTCAATTCAACTTTCGTTCGACGAAAGGCAAAGAAAAAATGTGGAAATTCGGCGTCGTTTCACTCTCCAAACTCGCTAGATCGCGGCGTTTCTCCACCGCGATTCCCGGTCCTTGCATTGTTCACAAACGTGGTGCCGACATTCTTCACGATCCCTGGTTCAACAAGGTCTTCCTCTCTCTCTCTCTCTCTCTCTCTCTCTATCTGCGAATTTTGAATACAGTTTAATTTAGTTTATCTTTGATTTGGTTTTACTTGATTTGATGAGTGAGAACATAAGCGATGTTGAATCAGCTTAATTGTTACTGTAGTTTACTTTTTTCTTGTGTTATTGTTGTGTTATTGAGTATGTGTGACAGTGTAAGTAGCGGAATGATGCTGTTCATGGCGGATTGTTTTACACAATCTTGTGGATGATGTTAATTGCTCATGGAAATCTTTCTTTAATTTTCTTGAAATAAATCTTTGTTTCGTTTTCGAAGTTTGGTTTTTAAATTCTTGGAATGCAGGATACTGGGTTTCCTTTGACTGAAAGGGATAGATTGGGGCTTCGCGGGCTTCTTCCTCCTCGTGTTATATCGTTTGAGCAGCAATATGATCGCTTTAGTAAGTTTGAGGCCGATGCTTTTGATATTGTAGTGTGTTTGGTTTCATGCTTTTTATTCATAGTGGTTGTAAGTGGAGGGTAGACCTCACTAAGTGCTAGCTTTTTTGAGTTAAGTTGGGTCAAACCAAAATTTTAAGATAGTATTAAAGTTTATTTTACATTTGTTGAGCCACCCACGTATGTCAAATCCTGCAAACTTTAAGTTCCGTATGTTCAGTTTGGGATACAAAAGAGGCATGCTGAGAGTCTTATATAGACAATGAGATGGCCTTATTAGTAGCTATAAGGGAAGGACAACTCTCATCTTAAAGATAGCTTTTTGGGGTTTAATTAAGTCCAACTCGATGTTTAAGGCATTTGCAGTTTTATACTTCACTAATATTTGATAGCCATGAGTTATTATTATTGTATTATTTTCAGTGAATTCATACCGATCTTTGGAGAAGAATACTCAGGGACAATCAGAGAAAGTTGTTTCCCTGGCAAAATGGAGAATCTTAAATAGACTGCATGACAGGAATGAAATTTTGTACTACAGAGTGAGTTTGATGTTGAAGTTTGCTTTTTTTTATTTGGTTGTTGTTCTTTTGAATTTGACATGCTTGGTGATTTAAGAGTATAACCAATTTTGTGTTTGATTCTTATGTTGCTATTCTTCAGGTTCTTATTGACAATATTAAAGAGTTTGCTCCAATAATATATACTCCTACAGTCGGATTAGTGTGCCAAAATTATTCAGGGCTATTTAGACGGCCACGTGGAATGTATTTTAGCGCCAAAGACAAAGGGGAGATGATGTCAATGATCTACAACTGGCCAGCTCACGAGGTATTGCATTCATTTCAGTAATACAAGATCATTTTCTTTTTGGTTTCATTGTTGAAATTGGAAATAACTCTTTAGCTTTCACTCTTCCCATCTAATCCGTGTAACATAGTGTTCAAGATTATGAACAATTGAATCATTTGAGTTTTCTAATCCTTATGCTAAATAGAGTAAATTTCCACTCCCTTGAGTAATAAACATAAAATCAATTGACCTGGTATTGCAATAGTTTCTTATAAAGTAGTTCAATAAAATAAATCCTTTTGTAAACACTATGTCAAATTTTTTATTCCTTTATACAATCATTTTAGTTGCAGAACAAACATGGCTTTTGTGGATATCACATATTTTGACCCAGATAAATTTATCCAATTGTTTTTTATAATTGTTGATTTTGATTTTTACAACATAAATTGTTTCGTAGAGTTAATTTTTCACAAACAATTCTTCTCAAGGAAGTTTTTCGTAAAATTTTAAAAAGGGAGATTTGTTACAAATCAGGAAAACTCGGGGGAGAGGGAGGCGGTTGGATCCTTTTACTATTTCTTTTTTAGTGTCAAAATACGTACCATGAATAAAGTTGATATTTTCAGTCTATATAGATTTTTTTGATGACTTAGAGCTCGAACTCCAATTATGGTTACTTTTTCATCACCCAGTTCATTAAGTGAAAACAGACTGTCTTACATTTATTCATATATTATGTTTCACTTATGGCTCTTTTACAGGTAGACATGATTGTCTTGACAGATGGAAGTCGAATTCTTGGATTAGGTGATCTTGGAGTTCAAGGAATTGGAATACCCATTGGAAAACTTGACGTGTATGTTGCTGCTGCTGGTATCAACCCCCAAAGAGTATGCTTCTTATTATGTCTGTATCTTTTTAGCAGTCTTAATCTCTGTCTGTTATTGCTTTTGTGTTTTCTAAAATACATCTGGCAAGTATCAACTTAAGCATTTTTGCCAATTATTAGATGCATTAGGATACTAGCCGAATTCGTTGATGCTTTTAATTTGTAATGTGTAGTTACGTGTCTTTTATATATGAGTTGACAATGTTTTCATGACATTTTTTCTCATGATCAGTCACGTGGAATAATATGTCAATTATGTTCCTTTTGTTTAACCACTACTTTGTAAAAGCAGTAGTAATAAATCCCGTTAGCTCAACCTATGTTATATTTTCAATTATGGCAGATACTTCCAGTCATGCTAGATGTTGGCACCAACAACCAAAAGCTACTTGAAGACCGCCTTTGTGAGTAAAACTATTCTTAGATCTTTTGTTTGCTTATTTATAGCTGTTATATGTTTCATAGTTTAATGTATTGGGGAGCATGGATGAAACTAAAAGATTCATGTTGGGCATGTCAATTAGATCATTTAATTAATCTGTCTCTACCTTCAGCTTAAAAACTGAACCGATTAACTAAACCATCAATAAGCTCAAGGCTTACATATTTTCCTTATATAATTCTTTAGCTTTGATCTTTGGGTGGCCATAGCCCCTACTAGCCTTCTTTGGCTCAGTCAGTCCTTGCGAAGCATTTATGTTTGTAAAAGAGGAATATTTCATGCTTGTCAGTTGTTTGCCTTTGACTACTATGACTGTGTTAATAAATGATTATTGTATGATGAGTATATTTAACTACCTTACTAACGGTATTTTAGGAGTTTTAGACTGTGATTATTGACATTCTTGATCTTTTGAGAAACTCTTCCTACTTATTTATAGCAAGTCTTTATTTATACTTTTTTCTCATGCAAATAAAAGTAAACTTTTAGCGAAAATAAAATAACATGAATGAATTCAAATAAGAGATTCACCATATTTAAAATTCTGACATGTTACTTTAGATTTTAATTACTGCTGTATATTGTATCTTGCTTGATTTCATACAAATTCATGACTAGTTTATCATTGACATCTTATTACATTCTGAAAATGCAAAGACTACCATGAAATATAGCATGCTAATTTATCTATATTTTGAAAGGCATTGGATTTTTTGGTGTTGTTTTCATGTGATAGATTTAGGACTTCGGCAACCAAGACTGGAAGGTGAAGAGTATCTGTCAATTGTTGATGAATTCATGGAAGCAGTTCATGCTCGATGGCCCAAGGCCATTGTGCAGGTTTGTTTCTTTGTTTTTTTTTTTCTCTTCTTTTTTCCCTGGTGATATGAAGGTTTGCATTTATTCTATCATTTTAGATTATATCAATAATTTAGTTTTGTAGCTAAGTTACTGTGCCAAATTCATCAGTTTGAAGATTTCCAAATGAAGTGGGCTTTTGAAACTCTAGAACGATATAAGAAAAGGTTTTGCATGTTTAATGATGATATACAGGTGAGAAAGTGACATTAAATATTGTTGATGTAGCATATTTTTAAGGTGTTTCCAGTGCTCTGTTATTGAAGTTGCTGCTGAAACATCAAATTACTGTGTGATATAGGGCACTGCTGGTGTTGCACTTGCTGGTTTATTGGGAACAGTAAGATCTCAAGGTCGACCATTGTCTGATTTTGTGAACCAAAAGATAGTTGTGGTTGGAGCTGGGAGGTACTTGCAAAGCTGATCATAACGAGCATAGTATTGAATGTCCATTTTCTTTTGTTTTATCACATACATGCCTCATTATTGCTACTTTTTGTCTCAACTTTTTATTTTTTATTTTGAACTGGATTCAGTGCAGGGCTAGGGGTTCTGAAAATGGCCATCGAGGCAGTTGCAAGGATTTCTGGGTGCAGTGAAATAGCTGCCAAAAGTCAATTCTTTCTGATTGATAAAAATGTATGCTATCACAATCTCTACTAGCATTTTCAGTCCATTAAGCTGCAATGCTTGAAAATCATATAATTGTCTTCATTTTCATATGCATAACAAAATGTCTAATTCGATTGTGATTGACTGAACTCTGTAATACAAACAGATTATTTTGTCATCACAATCTTTGTCTTGATTGATTTGTTTTCATACCTAATGTTAATTGCATATAAAAGAAATAGATAACTGTGTTGTGTGCAATCAATTTTGAATGCTGCTATTTCATGTTCTGCTGTTGTTGATTTAAATCTGATAACAATGCCATCTTCATATGCAGGGTCTAGTCACAACAGAAAGGAAAAATCTAGATCCAGCCGCAGCCGCATTTGCTAAAAATCCAAGCGACATAGATGGGCTTACCGAGGGTGCTAGTATAATTGAAGTGGTAAATGTTAATAAGATTCATCGAGAAAACCTCTACTATTATGATATTGAAAAGAATCATTTTGATATGAAAGAACTAAACTCCTTTTACTTAGTGATGGTAGTGTTAATATTTATGCATACTTATGTTTATCCTTTACTTGTTGAACCTACTGATCTTTAGGTTAAGACGGTTAAGCCACATGTGCTCCTAGGTTTGTCCGGTGTTGGTGGTATTTTCAATACGGAGGTAATTAGTTTCTACAATTGCACTTCAATCATACTATGTCCCTCAGTGAAATGTATTAAATAGATAAATGTAATAGATATCTTTGACATGAACTTTTCTTTAGTTGAGTTCTTAAAATTTAATGGTTGAGATTCAGCTCAGGTACTTAAGGCAATGAAAGAATCCGTTTCAACAAAACCTGCTATCTTTGCCATGTCTAATCCCACCTTGAATGGTTTGTTTGTACCAAGCTTATTAAGCATTCACATTTCCATAATAACAATGTTTATGTTTTTTTGTCTTGACATTTTTTGTGTATTACGGGGACAGCTGAGTGCACTGCTGTTGATGCTTTTAATCATGTCGGGGAACATATAGTGTTTGCAAGTGGAAGCCCTTTCGAAAATGTAGATTTTGGTAATCACCTCTTTCATTGGTTTTGAATTTTTGATATGTCTCATAGTTCAGATTTTTGTTCTCTATTTTTTTATGCAATTAAAATCTTGTGCAGGTGATGGGAAAGTAGGGCATGTAAATCAAGCAAACAATATGTACCTTTTCCCAGGGTAGAGCAATGTTTTTTGGATTTTATATACTTACAATTGAGTTATTGGTGTAACTTTTATTTTGAACTTTACATTTCAGAATTGGTTTGGGAACACTTCTGTCAGGTGCTCATCTTATTACAGACGGAATGTTGCAGGCAGCTGCTGAATGGTATGCTGTTAATTTAAACAATTGTTTATTTCTATTTCTTAAAAGCTATTAGAACTTAGATTCATTGAGGCTTGGCAAAATATCTTTTACATTTATCAAGTCTTATCATAATAGAATTCAATAGGCTGCCATGACGTCTGAGTCAATGAGTCATTGTGAACATGATAACTCTACATGGCAGGCCCATGCACCTGCTATAGGTTTTACGTCTTCTTATCATTCAATGCATTTGTTAAACAAGGCATATGATCAATATTTCATTAATAATTTCATTGGATTAAATTGCAAATCCTATTTTATGTTTCCATTTCTGATGAGATGTCTTTGAATGCATCTTGTCATATAAATTAGTTACATTACACTTTTGTCATTCTAACAGCCTTGCTTCATACATGGCTGAGGAAGATGTCTTAAAAGGAATTCTATATCCATCCGTTAATAGGTAATATTCCTTTTTCCCTGTGTTATGTTTTGATCTTTTATATCTTGTTTGGCTCTGCTTTTCCTGTCTCTTTTATGATGAACAGAACAAATGAAGTTGCAATTATTTTTATGAAATTAAAATGTGGTGTTTTGTTTTGAATGTTATCTAGGATTTAGAAGCCAAGTTTGATATCATAAATATAACAGTAATAGTATAGGCATTGATTCACTCTCTTGTCAACAACCTTATATGAATAAAATCAGTCTTGTTGATTTGGTTGTTTGTTAAGAAGATAAATACTACAGTAGTTGAAATTATGGTATTCTCTTACTAAGGCTGCTTTGATCCACTGCAGCATACGAGATGTAACGGCAGAGGTTGGAGCTGCTGTACTTCGAGCAGCCGTTCAAGAAGATCTGGCAGAAGGACATGGTGAAGTAGGAGCTAGAGAACTCACACACATGTCAAAAGTATGCTACTTTTTCTGTTTAATCGAAATTTCAAATTTTTTTTTTTTGGCAGAATGGATTGTACTTAGTACTGACTTTTCATGCTGTCAGTGTAGAATGTATTAACAAGTGAATGTTGTACAAGGAAAGAGGCCCACCATTCTTCATATGATAATATTTTGCCATTGCTTATTGTTGCAGGAGGAGACCGTGGAATACGTCCGACACAATATGTGGTACCCTGTGTATGCTCCACTTGTTCATGAAAGATAGAATCATATGGTAAGGTACAACTAAAGACCTGGTGCAATCCACATTTCAAATTTCTGCTGCCAAGCTTTTTATGTAAGGTTTCTAATCTAATGTTCTTAATTCATAACTAGAAAAGTTGAGTGCTGAAGGGCACTTAGCAAACAGGGAAGCTACATGTCTCCATTTGGTTTGGCTGTGAATTAGGCTTATTATCATTTGAATTTGACTTATCATTTTGTTCCATATTATAGTGTCTATAATGGACATTAGTAAATGACTCAATGTAATGTTGATGATCGCTACCCTAGATAGTTTCATTGTTAACTCTATATGATACTTCTATTATTGATTTTTGAATGAGATTTGAGTTCATCTTATTATGAAACATTATATTATACTTCTATTGAAAATATTCTTATTGATTCTTGAATAAGATTCAGATTCGAGTTCATTTTATTATGAAACTCTGATATTTCTATTGAAAATGTTTTTAATCTTTGATACAACATAGATTTGAAAGTCAAACGTTTTTAATCTTTGATACCGTTAGAATAAATCTAAATATAGTGTATAGTTAGCATTTATTCTGTAACATTCCCTTAATATTCTTTTGTATAGTTAATTTCCTTAATTATAGTCTAAGATCTCTCTTATAATAGTTGTATATAGCCACAATGATCTAAAGGAAAGAGGCACAGAATTATATTCTTTAAGATACAACAGATATTATTACGTATTAAGTTTAACTTGATATTTAAGAGAATAAAGTAGATTTCTCATTTTTTAAGCCAATTATATAATACTCCAATATTAAAATGTAAAGCAGTTGAAATAATACCTATATTTCTCTATATATTACTGATCATTTTGGAAGAAAACATGGTATTCGCTGCTGAAAGAAGAGATAAAAATCTAAAGGTGTATTGTATTGATGGTAGTAAAATGATACAGATGAGAAAAGTTGACTGCATCAAACCTATTAACAAACCTTCACAAATTAGTATTTTGGTGTTATTTATATCCTTTATTCTTTTTAGTCACCACGCAAAATTGTTTAAATGTTTATAATTTTTGAAGATGCATCTTCGGACGTGTCAAATTTTAAATGAACGTTGAAATATTTCAGAGATGTATCTTTGTAACATAAGTCATTATACACTTGAATTGGTCCGGAGATGTATATCCGCAATATTCTGGAGATTCATCTCTGTAACGTATTAGAATTTGATCGTTCATGTTATATTTTTGTTTAACTGTATTCAGATGAAGATTTAAACTATATCCTACAACTGATTTAAACTATATCCTACAACTGAAAATAAAAAATCTACGTACATAATTTTAGATGGTCCAAAAATATCATACATAAATAAAATACAAATAAATATAGAAAATGTCATACAATCGAGATCAATCTAGTAACATGTTAAAAAAAAATACAGACTATAGTACTACTACTATATACTAAGACATAATATCTAATTACCTCTCCTCTACCCCTTCTACCTCCTCTGCCTCGTCTACCTCTTCGACCATTAATCCCGCGTGTCTTCCGGCGATGTCTTTGGTACAACAATGCTCCTTATGCCTTCGTCATGATGGTATCTAGGACATGCCTCACATCAGACCCATCAGGGAAGATATCAATGTTAATGTCTGTCGGTGCAATCTCTACTATGCAACGACATCTAGGCAAGACATCCTCAACATGATCTAACTGTGTCTGCTCTCACACTAGTATCTTTTGATGAGCTGGCCTCGACGGATCTCCTGCAGCAGCATGCACCATGTACGAATGTGACACCTTAAAGAACCATTTGATGTACCCTTCGATGTAACTCCAGTCGCTCTCAGCTATGGTAGCCCGTGCCTCCTCCGATACTAGATGACTCTCATAGTCATCAAACATGTCACATATCTGCGTACGTGTCAAGGCAGGAGGAGCAGAGACAACAGGGTGTTTGAGAATGGTTTGAGTGTATCCGAACTGCTGCATGACGCGCTCGGGCAGATGAGAAGCAGTGAGACATGATTCACATGCAACCATCTAGAGTATAACATTATCTCATCAAATGATCGCGTCTCAGCGTGATAATATAGATGTTGAAGTGCATCTCAGCAACTAAACAGTCAAGATAGACTCTGTAAGGCTCAGTTGCCTAGTCCCCTTTGAGCGGGATAAAAGCAGTAGCACATGTCATATCTGTAATACCCTAATTTTTACCCTTAAAATTTCTCACATCTCATTTGCATCTATGCACCACAAATAATATTATGCTTTGGTTCCTCTTTTCCCTTTCATCTTTGAGTTTATACCTTGCAGGGATCATCGAGCATCTGTGTTGTTTCTTGTTTGCTCTTATTTGTATATTTATGTTTACTAACCTTTAGTCAAAATCCAAAAATATATTTGTTTTTTTCTTTACTAACTCTTTTTCAGGAAGATGTTGAAATCAAGAACATCAATCAGCAGTCCCTCAGCTCGAATTAATTTCATCTAAACAAAGTCAAAGTTAATTTGCAAGCAATTCAAATCATTTGATCAAGAGTTTCCCAAGATTTAATTGACTATTACTCAAGAAATTCCAAGGTTCATATGTTTATTTTCATGTCTTCTTTGACAAATCAGAAAAACCGAGTCAGAGCCAAGACAACACATCAAAAAGTCAATTTTCACACTTTTTTCACTGTGTTAATCGATTAACACATTTGTACATGCAAATGGTTAATCGATTAACCAATGCATTTTTTTTTGTGAAAATGAGCCAAATTCAAATTCTGCAGCATTTTGACACCGATTTATAAATATTTCATCATGAGAATATTCTAGATCACTTCATTTTAATTTCCCTACCTCATCATAATTGATTTCCATCATACACCTTCACTAATCACCATTTGATTTTGATTTTGCCTCAAAATTCAAATTTCAAGCCTAATTTTGGTTCCAAACCATCAAAATTTTCAAGCCTAAATGCTATAAACAGAGACATCATTTCATTCACTCTTCAAGCTTTGATAGCCAAAATCACCTTGTTAAAATTTCTCTCAATTCCCTTCAACCACAAAATTCACCAAAGCTCTTTCTTCTTTTGAAAATTAGTAAGTTCTTCATTGGAACTTACTAATCTTTGAGCTAAAACCTTCATCCAACCACTTTTTCATCATCAATTTCAGTAGATAAAGACTTTGGAGTGTGGTTCTTGAAGTTAATTTGAAGCAATTTCAAATTTGAAGTGGTAAACTCTCATTCCACCATTGTTGTTCTTAATCCATCTTCCAAAATATGATCTATTGTTGATTCTTATTGCTTGATCTTTGGATCTTTCAAATTGTGTTTTATTGGTGATATTTGCTGTTGTTTTACTTGAATTTTCGTGCTAATTCTTATTCATGACCATGAGATGTTTGAAGAAATGGTTGGATCATGAATGCTGAATTTCTTTCAAATTTGTTGCTGTCTTAGCAGTGTTAATCGATTAACACATTTGCACATGCAAATGGTTAATCGATTAACTAGTGTCCAGAATGTGATTTTTGCTTGTTTTTGGGACTGTTTTGGTTCAATTTCCTTTTCCTTTCCTTTCCTTTTGTTCTTTTCCTTGGATTACATCTTTGTGTGGTTCAATTTGGCATTTCTTCATCTATCTCTCATCTCTTTTAATCGATGAAAATCTTCGATATCATTAGAACTTATTTTAGTTCTTGTTTAAGATGAGACCGTTACCTATTTTCTTTTCGTATGATATTGCTTTCGGAGGATGATCTACATATCGTCTCTCTAGCATACATTAGTACAAACATTTGTATTGACCGACCTCAGATAGTCGTGGCTTCTACATAAGCCCGATTACGATTGCTTAACATAGCGCTACATTTGTCCCTTATCGGAAAATAATTATTCGTGGCTCAAATTTATGTTTAAAAGTCCAAGTATAGTTGATTATTTGTCTTGGGTCCATTACTTATGAAACTTGTTGTTAGGAGACTTTGATTTTATCAATCCTCTAATGAGTCTTCATTAACTTTGGCCTAAGTTTATTATTTAACCATCGTTGATCATTTCTTCTAACAACTAATCACTAATTCACTAACAATATTATTGTACTAATTTTGTTTATGATTCTTTCTTGCTCCCTATCTCTCTTTTATTTTTATGCTCCATTATTATCATCTCATATCATATTATTGTTTATACTTCCTCCTCTTTTTCTTTTGTCCATTTGGACCAAAAACATTAATAATGGCTTAAACCCCTAAAAAACTTGTTCTCTTAATGGTGGACTATGGCTACTATCCTTTGCATTGGACATGGAGTTTTGGACCTAGAATTAGGATTTTAACCTATGCTTGGAAGCTTGTGATGTCAAACCTTGTATTTTGGGTACTTGGGGTTCTCTCTTGAAGACTTATTTTGATGAAAGTCTAATCTAAATGAAGAATGCTTATATTATGGAGCTTAATTGTGTGGTTAGACCATTCTTATCCTTAGTTTTTATCTTTTTGATTTAGGATAGTAACTTCTTCTTCACCCCTTCTTGAATTTTCAAAATCTTCTCCCTTTTTTAAAAACCTTCTTGTTTTCAAACTATAACCTCTTTCACAATAAAATGTTGACTTTTGTCAAGTGCTTTTTCAAACTTTCTTTTCTTTAATAAATGTCAATCAATATTAATCATACTTTGACTCTTTTCAAATAGACATAAAAAGAATTCAAACTCATTCAAACCTTTTGTGCCTTATGCACTTTTTCTTTTAAAACTTTTCCATAAGTTTATACATGAGTCATCTCTTTAAGCAGAATTATTTGCTTGGAAATGACGACTTGTATTTACATTAAAATCAACCATAACGAAACTATTTTGTTATTTGTACCACGAACTACGGGGTTTTGATCCCATATTACACTTTGTGGGTACGTAGGCATGAGGCGATAAGTCTCTCCAAACACAAAAATCTTAAAAAAAAATACTTTTCTTCTCATCTCCTCAATCTCATTTCAAACAAACCTTTTCAAACCA